AAAAAAAAAAAAAAAAAAAAACATAATGATAATGAAATGAAATAAAACGAAATAAAATCAGTCTCTGTCAAAATATGTCTTGCATTACTAGCAAGTCCCTCAGGAATTTGTCCGAGTGATGAAGTCAGACAACACGCGTGCGACACGACAAGACAAAGCGTGGCGCTTTCGATCCAAAGGTGCCCCCTGGTCCCAGATACCAACTAGTCGTTTTCGGTCACCACCCTAACCTCCCCTCTCCCCCATTTCCCATGTCAATCTCCAGTGGTGGAATGGAATAATCATTCATCCTCTTCCTCCGGCGCAGGGAGGCGCCAAATGCAAGTACTAGTCATACTTATCGACCTCCAGCCAGCCAGCCAGCGCCCCAAACCTTGCGTGGTTGAGTTGACCGGCCCAGGATTTTTTATCGACAAAACCCCGCTTCGAGGAATGCACCGAACATCCTCCACACATACATGTGGGCTTGGCGCAGATGGTGTGTGTCCACAATGAGAGACAGAGAGACACGCCCTTCCTTACTTGCGAACTCGAACTTGAACTTTCAACTTTTCTTATCTCGTTGGTTTTGGTTCACCCCGTCAATGACTGCTCCTTTCATGCCGGTGGGAATCTGGCTTGGTGTTAGTGCGGGCTGCTTCACCGACTTGTTCGAGACCGTGGTGTAGCTGATGACTTGGTTGAAACCAACGTTGCCCTTGCTGGTCTGGATCGGGTCACGATGGTAACTTCTTCCATGGGCTTGACTACCTATCGACCTTTGGACCCTGTTTGTACTCGCCGGCTATCAATATCTCCCCTCGTAAAGCTAAACTGAGGAGCATATTTCTCATTCGGGATAGATCACACATCTCTCTCAGTATCATCACGTAGATCTATCAGGAATATAGTACTTCCCAGCCCTAATCCCCAAGCGACCTCAAAAAAGAGGTAGTCAATAACCGACTCGAGTCATACTCTCTGGTCGGCTCGCTTGTTTAGTCTCCATCGATATCACTCTCCCATCACACCTCCGCGGGCAAACAACGATAGACCTAACGTGAGTAATTGGCCCCGCCAACCCATTCGTTCCACCCAAATCCTTCTTCCCACCTACATCCGGCCGGAAGACATTTCACACTTTGAACGCCGTCGCCGCCGGGACTAGCGTCGCACGCGCGCGCAAATCACAACCTCCCGCTGTGTAGCACTGACTCGCCCGTGGACTGATTTGATTTATTCTATCTGGGGCTTATCGTTGGCCTTCAATAGCTGGGATGATGACACCCGGTGCACGGTTAGTTGGCAAGCTCTCACAGCAGATGGTTGTCTGTACGCCGTTTTGGAGCAGTGCCGGACTTGGCTTGCCTTCATGGGTAGATAGTTCTGCTTCGTCTGTACCCCGTACATATCGTGCATTTATTTATCACTACTGATGAATATGTGCACGTAACTACTCATGTAGAAAGGCACTTGGATTTTATGAGTAGTGGTGCAACGTAAGTCGATCATTGCAGTGCTCTTCCCTGTTTACTAGATCGACTGCACATTGAGTGTCATCTGCCTCCTTCATATTTCACGATTTGCCAATTTGCAAAGAAACTCAGGCCCTCGTTTTTATCTCCGTCGATTCTTCTAGGTGTATCAATGATACACTGTTCATCTCGAGTGTATATATGCGAAATCCTCCCATCTCACTCTTGCTAATATTTACGGTCAATAGATATTACGCCTCTGATCCCATAGCGTGCTTTTAGGCGCTTTTTCTCTATGATACCAAGGCAAGCTCCCCGATTAAAATACGCGCGTCAATTAGATGAAGGGCTGTCCAGATGTCTGGATATCATACGGCCTTGATGGTCCCAGCTGAGTGGATAAGCTTGAGGCTAGATCGACACCTATCCTGATATTAAGGACGTGTCGTCTTTGTTGGTAGAGGCTGTCGTGATACAAGATAATCGGTGAGCTGCTCCAACACTGGAGTATTTTGAGACATGAAGCTTCAAATTTGAATAGATTTGATCGGCCGGTGTGATCGAGTCGGGGAGTATACACAGGCCGGGCATCGTACCCTATCATGATATTAAAAGCCGGCTTCATCTACACCGATAACAGCTATACTCTAATCCTAACCACCTACTAAATGAGACATACAAAGACAAAATCGAGATCCGGTCATGTCAAACCACAGCCTCCTCCACCATCTCTATCATCAAACCACACAGCCCAGCATCAATCAACTAACCACATACTATAGAACAGTATAAACAATGACGTTTCAAGCCTCACAATCACAGTATAGATGCTGCATGGCCCTTAATTTCCATTATTTGTCATTCAAGACTTGGCGCCCGCATGGACACCGACACATAACGTACACAATCAGTTGTCATAGGGTGTCCGATACAAAGAATCTAGTCGCTAGTGCTCATCCATCCGTGTTGACGTCGCACACGACACCCTGCTGGAGACACATCCTGGTTAGCACCTGGTTTGAGGAATATCATCTTCATGGCCAATCTGAGCCTCGGACTCTCTTTTCCCCATGTCTGGATGCATGCGGAGACCCGATGGGCATGGCTCTGTGTGCTAAGTAGGGTTGATGGATGGGGTGGGATACAGGGGTGGGGGTGGTTTGTGTGTTACGCTTGTGTTTGTAGCTGTAATGGAAGATAACCATAATGTATTTCCCGACCGACCCGGCCACCCCGACCGACCCGGCCACCCCGACCGACCCGGCCACCCTTTTAAAAACAATCATGCTTGAAGAACTTGAAGTTATTCTCAACCACTTAAACACACATTTTTCATTGAAATAATTAACTATGACATGTAGGATACTTGATTCTAGTATGCCCTTAAATATTATAATTAAAGCATGTTAGTAGAGCATGTCTTGGCATGCTTAAAGATAGAGATACAGAATCTATTATAGCCTTCTCTATACTATTTTCTAGCTAATTTCTTTGATATATTAGATCCCTAATCTCCTACATTGAGATACCTTTATTAGAAATTATTTAATATCATGAACAGCTTCTTTTTTGCTTCTTCTTCTTATTTTTAGCATGGAGTTCATGGTTCTCCTTGATTAAAATAGTAGTATTATATATAGTCATCTTATAACTCTTTATAATCTGCTGAAGAGCTCTTTTTAAGAGTGTACAGAGACTTTAAGAGCCTCTTTTTAATAGCTTTTTAATAGAGGAAGCCTGTTTCTATAATTAACAAATAGTATATAGTGTTATAAGAGTAAAGAAGATAATAAAAGTCCTCTCACCTCCACAGCTTCCTGGAGAAGATAGTATAGTTATAATATAAAGCTTTTTAAGCACTTGTTAAGAATTAAATAATTATATTCTAGTAGTAATAAAGTTATTCCAAATACTTTCAGGTCTAAAAATATCTTAGTAAGTAATAGAATAAGTCTATAAGAAATCAAGCTTGTTAATATACTTATATCCTAGCCATGCTTTTAACTCTATAAGAGTCTTATACACATGCTTTAAAGAACTAAAATAACTAATATCTAATAATTATAAGAGATAAGAGGAATAAGAAGACATATAGATTATAATAATATTATTATCACAGCATACTTTATTAAAAGTAGATATAAAATAACTTCTATAACCATCTAAAATAAGTAGCTAATATTAACTAACTGTACAGCTTGTTATTATAGGAATAAATATTTTTTAAAGCTACTACAGGCCTATCTTATCTATTATCTAATTATTTTAACTAATTTTAATCCTCTAGTCATGTGATATACTATATTCTTTATACTATTCTTTAATAAGAATCTTTTCTTTAAAGATAATATAAGAAGAAAGACTCTAATTACTTGAATTAATATATTCTACTATTATAATCTATTTCTAGTTACCAGGCTAAATAAGATAAGATCTTCCAAGTATATCAGCTCTTGTAATTATCTTTATAATAACTATTAAATCTATTACAAAGCCTATTTTATTAAAATTATAAATATTATTAAGTAGAATATCATGCTGTATTTAAATTCTTTGTAATTTTATAAATTATCTCTTTATTATCTTAGAATCCTTACATTTAGCCTGTTAATAATTATATTTATATATAAAATAATTTTAGATCTCCAGACAGCATTAAATAAGTATAGATATCTAGTTCTTGCTAATAAATCTATATCTAGTTAGATTATCTATCTAGAGAATAAGATTAGCTATTTCCTATATATAAGAGTATCTAGAAGCGGCTCTATGTGTATCCCTAGATAAAATCTATTCTATTAAAGAATCCTCCTGAGTCTGAGATAGTCTATAATTATTTATATATTATTCTATCTAGTATTAGCAGTCTTTTAAATAATCCTAAAGAATAGAGTATAGTATGCTAAAAACCTCTGCAGCGCAACAAACACTTGAAATTTTATTATTTTTCAAAGCAGATATTACAAATTAGATCCTTTCCTCTTATTCCACCAAGTTTTTTGATGATTTAGATCTTTTTAGTAGTATGATTAATAGCTGAAAGGCTTCAAGATTTTAAATATGGGGATATTAAAAAGGGTGGCCGGGTCGGTCGGGGTGGCCAGGTCAGTCAGGAAATACGTTAATAATATTCTTTCTTTTTTGGAAAGAATATTAGATAAATAAATAAAAAAGAAAGAAAGAAAAAAAAATATGCGTCAGAGCCTAAGATAAATCCCTGATCCATGATCGTCCAGACACATATAGGGTTAGGTAGAAGACAGCCTAACGTATAATCCCCCAAGTTAAGACGGCGCTATTGGATGGTCTTCTCGCCTTAGCCTGACAACCCGCGTGTTCAGCCGGCGTCAGTCCCCATCCTCCCGCCCTCTGCCTCGTTTTAGTCTGGCGTGAACGTGCTCCGGCTGCACATGGTGAGGTCGGTCTATCTCTGCCCGATTGGTACTATTCCTCGAGGGTTCGTACATGCACTAGCCTACTAGTCTATTACTGACGTTGGGGCTAATGCTGCCTGTCGCTCGACGAACTGACCAGATAGGTGAATACCCGTTGTGTCTGCTGGAGTCCAGGATCTTCCTATGGTCAAAGAGGTAGGAGTCGATCTTCAATCTGTAAAATATGAAAAACCTGTAATATGTAAAATTGAATGAAATAGACAAATAAACAGATAAACAAATAAATAATAAAAAAGCATACAGTGTCCAAAAGGTGACATGTACATGTACGTACCCGTTGGTGGCATCAGTCGTCAATTGCCACCGACCACCATGAACACCCATGAAACTCGACGCACATGCGTCTGAAGCATTTTCCACCTTTACTGATTCACTGATTAGACCTCCCAGCCCTGTCAGTCATCCATTCATCCAGCCAGCTAGTTAGCCCGCTTAACTCAGCGGCGCAGACTAGACAGTCATCCCAGCCGTATACCGAATGAATTATTATCCGGGGGGCCGGGGCGGGTCGGTTTCAGTCGAGCTCATGCAGGCGGTTGTTCGACGGGTCTCTGCATCGCATCGTGTGGTCTTATATTATATGTATCCCAGTTTCGTCCATCTTTTGCTGACCGTGACCTGCAGTAACTTATCTCATGGGTAGGTAGGTAAATGTCTTACTCCAGATATATGCGTGTTGACTGGACTCCCCGGGCATGGCGTGCGTGGACAATCAACTAGACGACAGTTTCATTGGTTGGGGGGGTTCAACCATTTTGGTTTGGTCTCGTGCTGTTGTCTTGACTATTTGTCAACCATGTGAGAGGTTGGTAACTATTCATTCATTCAATGATTGAGCTCGAGTCGTTCTCGTTACCCTAATTGACATACCCATACATACGACGCTGTACCTCCTTGGAATTGGCTACATTTATTTGCTCTCGGCAAAACAACAACAACAAAAAAAAAAAAAAAAACTTATAAAATACAAAAACAAAAAAGAGAAGCAACGCGAAAGACAAGAAAAAGTAAACAAACACATAAATCAACCGGTTGGTCCCCCCCGTAAGCGCCGCCTCGATTAGACCTGCCTTGGCGCCCTCGTGGTCAAAAAGCCATCGTTTGCCCTCGTACCCCCAGGCTCGTACCCAGGTCTGACTCGTCACCTTATTGTCTCTCACGGCGTTGTCGGGGAGGAAAAAGCTAGCAATTGCGCCCCCACCGGTCAATTGTCGGGACCGACGACAAAGCAAACTGCTATACGAAGTGATGTGATGTGGACGGCGGCGAATGGTGATCAACGTATCCCGAATCCAGCCACATGGCGCCTGTTCTGACACTAGATCGGACGGGATTGCTGGTGTTTGACGGGGCCCTAAGGCTTCCTCTTCTCCTCGGGAGAGATGACCTGTGTATGTATATGGAAGCATCAATGAAGCAACTACGCTCGGCGATGGGAATGGAGGAAATTAGGCTCTGTCTATCAACTCACCGCCAGTCTGACATGACGACTATCCTTCCAGCCACCAAGCAGTCAGTTAGAATACAAACACAAAACAAGGCTAGCTACTGCTCATCCTGGAAGCAGAAGCAAAACAGAATAGAAGGAGGGAAGAGGAGGTGGTGGACAGGCCCACGTGGCGAGGCCCGGAACGGGCTGAAGGGCAGGAATCCGCCGAGACGGCCCAAGTCGGGGTCGGTGTTTCATGTCGCCGCTTATCCCTTCCTCTGAACTTTCAGTCAGTAGTAAGGCTCCAGATTCAGGTACCTGGGGCGTGACACACATGCCTGGTCGTGAGTGAGAGAGTGAGAGGGATCCCTGTGCGACAATCGCCCGGATATGCATTGCGTCGCCTAATTTGACAGCCTGTGGTGTCAGATGTGGGAACACCGTAACCAGTGACAGGTTGGATCCTAGCCATCTGTATCCTGTGGTATTTTGCAATACTACCCTAATCTCTACGCGATGCTCGGTATGATCCTGTGCTCGTGGCATTTTAAGGTTACCGGCCAGAAGCCCTGGTCGTGCTTCTGTCATGTGGTTTCTGCTGATTTTCGGACACGGCTTGTGCTGCTATGGGGTTTGGCTTCTTGCTTGCTGTTATTTGGACAGTCTGGGTCTGAACCGGAGGGTAGTTGAGGCTGGACAATTTGGTGGGGGGTATCTCTACTGGTGCATATGCCATGGGCACTTTATACGGAGAATATTTATCTGTCCCAATCGCTGCTACTAGGATCTTGAAATATCCCCCGTCTAACATTCAAATAATTTGGTATCTGAAACTTTGCCTAATACGATTATAACATTTAGCTGTAAGTAATGAGTTCTACCTTGATGAAGCCGACTGGCTTCATCTTTCCACGTCAATGAGAAAGTAGACCCCAACAAGGCCAATCATATAGAAAGTTATGTAGGTCTGTGATGCATTATATTTTTATCTTTAGCAGTGGGTTTTGCATTAAACACTTAATATTGTCGGCTACATGTCTTGGCCAATCCCGTATCTTCCAAAATGATCTCCCTAGTAGATATAGAGGTGCAAACAATTTGCAACAAGTAGTTTGAGTCTTTGACGAGAGGCTTTCAAAGCAGGTGTGTTCCCAGCCTTTACAACTTTCTGAGTAGGAGAGATGTTCTGTGATATTTGCACGGCGAGTCCATCCAATAATGTAAACATTGCAGGGGTACCCATTTCAGAGCATGGAAAAACAGCCTATACTCCTACCTCATGTCTTTGTGAAGGGTCTGTATCTTGTCAACCTAATCGAGCATATGTTACCATACCAACCAGTACATTTCGTAAGAGCCCCACAGTCACGGAAAGGCAAAGACAAGCGTTCGCAGTATACCATGATGGTAGGGATTCAAATGGAGAACCAAGCTTCAAGACAACCTCGACCGTCACCCAACCGGCCGGATGGAAGTCGACTGCCCGATGCTGCAGTAGCATCGTACCTGGCTCTCTATCGGCCGAAGGGTGTCCGAATATGGTGGCTCCGAAGCACATCGGGATGCCCTTACAATCATATTGTAAACTCACCATCAGTGTGCAAGTGTGTAGCTGCTGGTGGATTGCCATGTGGACATTCTGCGTTGCTCGTGCAGCGAAAGAAGGCAGTTTCGATAAGAACGGAGTAGGACCGATCTGTGAAAATTTCTGGCACAGCGTAAGCAATGATGCATTGGAATAGTGCTGTGATAGACAGAGGGCGTATGGACGCAGCAGGGAGAATTCCATAGGCCATCGCCCCCACCGGGGGTTTGGGACATAACATCATCAATAATAGAGATGAGCCGACAAATCTGCTGTCTAGCTAGTAGTCATGGAGTGTGAAAATAAGTGCAAGAAAATACCAAAGATTGAACAGCAGGGTTTGGGCATACTAAGGGAGTGCCTGTCCCGCCGCAGAATCCCCTGGCAAAGCAGACAATCTGACTGATCACTCGGCCAGTAGAGTCAAGCTGAACGAGCTCAGCCATGTGTCACCGGAGCGTTAGACCACCCCGCAAGACATGGCTACACGACATACAAACAAACGGCACTCTGTTGTACATCATAAGCGTGAGACAGGGTCAGGTCAGCAGCAGAGCAGTGGAGGTAGCGTAGGCAGCGACTTTTTGACAGGATCTAGGATTTTGTCGGGGGATTATGGCTGTCTGGAGTGATCTTGATAGACGTACATGTGTTCCAGTTAGGTAGAGTATCTCAATATATGACAGATATCAAGTGGTTAGTCAGTACCTAGAATATCAGGTTGATCTTTGGTGGTGATTGTACCGCTGGACGCTGGTCGTGGACTGATGGAATTGCGGACTGAGGATCCTGCTTAGTATTTTGTGGTGCAATTAATATGCAAATCATATAGCAAGTGCAAATCAGTTATTTCAAGTAAAATATAAAATAATGGATAGGCGTCGATACTTTCGTTAGTATAACCATGAGTTCCATGTATATAGAGAATATAGGATGTGGTGGTATCAACATGCGTGACTCAGGCAACAACACCATTAACTGGTGAGTCGTGACTTCCCCACTGGGCAGGATCTCTTTGCCTCTTTCCCCATGCGATCTATCTTCTCGCTGTTGACAACTTACCTACAGTATGTATTACGAGGATCATCTTGATCAAATAAAACTCCCATATCTCCGCAACACTGACAGCACGGATGTGACACATAGGCTCGGCCCAGCCACAAACAAGCAGCCGACAGACGTCATTCCCAACCCGCATGCCAACAATAAGCTGCACCAGCCACTCCCCTCTTGATTCTAGAAGATACCCCAATCGCTTCAAAACCCGAACCCCTCACTCCTTTCCTCTCTCCCTCCAACAACGACCACCATGTCAGAACGACAAGAACGACAAAACCCACCACTGCAACAACCCCCACAGGATCCCAACCCCGATGATCGACCAGGGACTCCACCCCGCCCGCCTTATTCCCCCGTAACACCCGTGTTCGCCCACCTCGCCCCCGTCCCAAATCTCCCCACCGGCGTCGCACCGCCCATCGTCCCGCCCGCGACCTCCCCCTCCCCAACCACACGACTCGCCTCCGATGCCTCCATCGCGCCCGATCTGCCTCCGCCCGCTGAGCCCGCCGCCAGCGCACCGCTGTTCGCGCCCGCGGAGCCGGCGCCCGTGCCGATCTCCGAAACCGACAACCCGGACGCCATCGCGCTCCGCTCGGCGCTCTCCATCTTGCAGATGCAGAAGCAGCAGAGCTTACGCGATATCCGTGCCCTGGAGCGACTGAAGACCGCGGCGGATGCCGACCCGGAGGCGTTTGCGCGTGAGCTCGCGGCGGGACGGCTTTCCGCTGCGGATCCCGGGGGGTTTGTCAACTTTACGGCCGATGAGGATGACGATGAGGAGGAGGAGGAGGAAGAGGGGGGGCGCCGGGAGGAAGGTGGTGGTCGGGCCCGGCTGGATACAATACCCACGCCGCAGAATGTGGTCCGCATGCCGCCCGTCAACTGGGCCAAGTATCAGGTAGTCGGCGAGCCGCTGGATAGGATGCACGAGGAACAGCGACGGCGGCCACTGGCGGGGGACCCGAGGCGGGATTCATCTGCGCAACAGCCGTTGCAGCAGCAAAGAGCGCCGGAGCATCTGCTTGCGTCGCCGTATCGGCCGCTGGTGGATAGACTAGAAACGCCGGCGGAGAGGGCCAAGGCGGAAGGCAAGAACAAGAAGACGTGAGGGAGGAATGGTGGAGATCGTATCTGGTGTGAATGAAGCTACTAGACTATGGTACAGTACAAGTTCCATATGGTACAGTACCGCTCCGTATCCATCGACCTTTGACGATTCATGACGCATCCATGGTCCAACTGCAACACGAAAATCTTCGGTCGCGTCGTCCCCTAGTATGTCCAGCAATTCGTGTTCAACTGTATTCGAGACAGAAACAAGAACAACAAAGCCAGACAAGAAGGGCCCTCAGGCCGCCGCCGCCGACGAACGGTAGCAGCAGCAACGACAGCAACTTAGATGTTCCTCAGTCCCGAAGTGATCTCGTTCATCTTCACAAGGAATTTTTCATGGGCATCAATGACTCTCTGCAACTGACGCTCCTCGAGGGTCTTTTCCTTCTTACCGCCTCTCTTCTTTCTGTGGCCGTCGTCACTATCATAGGACGCATTCCTCTGCTCACCGTCGTCCTCCATGTCGACGTCCATCGCGTTCCCATGGCCTGTAGGATCTTCCTCACCCTGTCCCTGAATTCCATTCCCGTCTTGTCCCTGAGGTTGACCCTCATCCTGTCTCTCACGAATGTTCTCATCCTGCCCCTTAACCTCCTCCCTACGATCAGGGATCCCCGCCAAGAAATTCTTAATCTCATGCTTCGGCGCCCCAGAATGCACAGCCGCCAGACGGGCCTGGTCACGAATCTTCTGAACCACCTTCTTGCGAAGATCCTCTCTGTCACCCATAGTCGCCTGCATGCGCTCCCGCGCCAGCTTGCTGCCCTCCTGCGCCTTGATCCACGCCTGCGCTTTGGGACAGTCAGGCTTGGTCTTTCTGAGGATGTCCGCGATAGCATCCTTGGTCAGAGCGGACATGCTGCGCACTGAGCCCTCATACCGGGGGATAGTCTGAGGCTCGGCGGGGTGTATTTTCTGATTGAGTTAGTATAATTTACAAAACAGCATGGAAATTCCTTCCCTTTAGGAAACAATATGAACGAATGGAAAAGAGAAAAACTTACACCATCTTCTCCAATCTTGAACGGAATCGGATTGATGGAATACTGGAGCTCGTCCAACGGCTTCTCGAGATCCACCGCCTTCTTAGCCCAGAGCCGCGCCAGCGCCAGCTTAGGGCACTCTTTTTTGACGTCCTGGCGCTTAGTCTCGGGGGGTCCCATCGCGACGTTGGATTTGTTTTCTTCTGCTTTGGCCTTGTCTTGCTTTTTGGCCTTGGCTCTAGCCTTCTTGCCCTTGGGGGCGGGAACGGGGCTGGCGCCGGCTGTGGTGTTGGCATTGCCGGCTTTGACGGACGCAGCCTCCTGATGAGGGGAGCGATCGGCGAGGGTACGTTTGGGCATGATGGGTTCTTTGGGCTTGGTCTTGGATTTTGATTTTGATTTGGACTTGCGTTTGGTTTTTGGTGAATGAGACTCGGTTGGGATGGTGGTGGTAGGTGAGGTTCTTGCTGGGTGGTGAGTCTCCAGGGAAGAGGTGGCAGGTGGTGAGTCTGGGGACTTCCATGGAGGGAACCTGGTGGGAGTGTAAGTGAGTGAGTGAGTGAGGGTGAGTGAGTCGGACAGTGAGAGTTCGTGGAACATCGTGACATACCTCGGCGGCAGGCTGCGAGCCCTTTTGAGTTGTCTCATAGTTGTGGTGCTTGCGTTGATGGTGTTTGGTTAGGTTAAGCTGGGTGAAGGTGTGTCATCGCTAGGGCAATGGGGAGGGAGTCCCATATTATTATGGGGAAGAGATAGGAGAGATATGAGAGAATGTCATGTTCAAGAAGAACCGAGTAAGTAAATATAGGCTGTTCACTCTTTATCACCAGTATTCTTCTCTAAACTTACTGTAGGAACTCCTTGTTCATGATAGTCTAGTATAAAACTGAATATCCACTGGCATATATATAAGATCTCCAACCAGATAAGACTACTAGATAATGGTCTGTACAAGTAAACCACTAGGTTTGTTTTATGAGAGCTCTATGGAAAGAAGAAGACTAAGAACACAAAGCCAACAGGCAAAGTAAAGTATAGTAGTTTCATCGGAATATGTATAATATACATTGAACTGCACTGGGACCTATACTAGATAACTCTTTAGTACACAGCCCTTCCACTAACAGGCTAGTTCTACAATCAACATGCCTTTTCTACATGGAGAAGTGCATGAAAGAAAGAAGTACTACAGAAGACTTGTTTGCGTCTTTCTAGGTAATAGAAGACATAAGAAATTTCATAATCTTACTTTTTATAGATATGGAAACTTTGGGTGGGGGCCTGGCTGTCTTGGTTCTTATGGCTTCTTCATCTTCCCTCTTAGATACCAGTAAATCTACTATCACTGATGCCTTGCTCCAGAACAATAAGATCCCCAGTGAATGAAGACATTCACTACACCTGACCATGCCAGACAATGTATCCGCATCACATGGTCTGGAGGGACGGTATTACCAGACTGTCCCAAAGACAAAGACTGGCTTCTTTGTTTCCTGCTCTAACCTCGTGAGACCGACAGTCTATATGAGTCGGATTTGACAGAATTTCATCAATCCATCATCAACAAGGCATGGTTGAGTAGAAGAGAAAAAGGAAATTTTATATTAGATTCCTCTACTCTCCTGATCAATTGAGCGGATCAGGCCCCCTATCGGGTCCCCGCAGGCCTGGATATCAAACGCCTGCGGAGCATCTTCAGTGCTAAGCGCGCCGCCGCCGAAGACCACCTCTGGGCATTGCGAGAGGACCCGGGGTTTTTCGCCAACAGGCGCTGGACCAGAAGGAGTACCGCCAAGAGTTGATTCCTGACGCGTCTGGCCGTCTACACCACCTGACGAGTCCATCCCATGCCCATAATCTGTGGAATGGAGTTCTTACCCGGGTGGTTTGCGAAGCCCATATCTTTCTGTGCTACTGGCATGAAATCGGGCACCAGCTCGCCAATATCGAAACCTTGCTTTCGCAGCATATCCAGGACTTACGGCCGGAGGATGACCTTCCCAAAGACCTGGAGTGGGCTTTCTGCAGGCTGATCCGATTCTTGGAGAATTCTATCAAGGCGCCAATGGTCAATTTCCAGGCAGCGGTGCCGCCATCCCCCCCTCTGCGTCGGTTCTTCAAGCGCGTGGACACAGAGTTGGAGCTCAGCAGAGACGCAATCCGCATGTGTGCAAAGTAAGTCTCGGCGCGGACAAGCGACGCGTTCGCCTCGTTCAGCTACTTGAGAGTATGTGGTACGAGGATACTTGCCGTTCAGTTGGACTCGATATACTGGTCGATGAACTCGAAACTCTGATTGAGAAAGATAAGTTCACAAAAGGGCTGCTCTCGCCCCATGTTCTGGAAAGATTTTCTGGTATATCGTCCCTGTCTCTGTGTCAACGGCAGTTACTTGGCTTTCAGCCGTGGGCCGCAAGCTTTGAGATCACCATGGCCCGTCAGAAAGACGAGCTGCTAGAGGACGTTCGTGAAACTCTCAAAGACTGGACACCGTTCACCAAGATGATCGACGCCGCCGGTTTGGCGGGCATGGGGAATCCGACGGACGGGCGATTTTACTACCCCGTGGACAAGCGGCGCACGCGCGAGACTACCGCCGCGATGCAGCAAGCAGAAGCCAAGCTGGACGCGTTCTGGAGACGAGTCGACACCATCTATACCGACAAAAACGGATTGTTCCCGCACCCCGCGGTCCGCAATCTGCTCTCCAACGAGCGCATCCTCTCCAGGACCCCCGGCTGGGTGGACGACGGTCCCGCTCCGCCTACCCTTGGGACTTCCGATACCGAAAAGGGGCATCTCCCACTGTCACAAATGCACTTCGAGCTCGAGCGGCGCACGCAGGAAATTATCCAACCAGACGGCGACAGCCTCGCCCACCGACCGAAGTCAAAACTTCGCGGGACCACACGTCTCCCACACGTCGCCGCTGTACTCGCCGATGACGCACCAAGCCACGGCCCCAACGTGCAGCCCACCTTCGCCGTGGATAAACGAGCTCTCAGGGTGTTTTCTACGGTGTTCTATGCGCCCTGCCGCACTTCCCAACCCGGGGAGGTCGCCTGGACTGATTTCCTGCACGCGATGGCCTCCACGGGCTTCTCGGCGGAGAAGCTCTACGGATCGGTCTGGCAATTCACGCCCCGCGCGCTGGACATCGAGCGAGGGATTCAGTTCCACGAGCCACATCCGCAGGGGAAGATTCCGTTCCGGATGGCGCGGCGGTATGGGCGTCGTCTGAATCGCGCGTACGGGTGGCATGGGGGGATGTTTCGGCTTGAGAACTAATTGATCTACTGGTCTTATCAGTAAGAGGCCAACATATACCCAGATGGATGAATGGCGAGTACCAATGTTTGCACAGCACGATCTATCAACCAAAAAGCCAAAGGACCGATCAACAAAAGTAGAAACAGAGGGGGGGGAAACAAGGGAAAACTAAACATCAAAACCGAAAAATCTGATCTTTCTCCCACCCCAAGCGGTCCAAAATTCCACTCTTCCCCCAAGATCCCACCAAGGCCTTCTCCATAGCAGGCGGACCACAAACAAACACCTTCGACCGCCCCATCGTCTCCCTCTCCACCACCCTCCCTAACACCTCCTCATCCACATACCCCTTCCTAACCGGGGAGTCCTCCCGTACCGGCCTACTCACAGTATACATATACTTGAATCGGTCCGGAAAGCGCCGCGCATACTCCTCAAGCTCGCTGCGCAAGAGCAAATCCTCCTCGGTATTAACGCCAAACACGAGCGTCACTTTGGTCTTGTCATCTGAGTTGTTGAAGATGCCTCGAATTAGCTGGTAGATGGGGGTGATGCCCGCCCCGCCGGCGAGGAGGTATACGTGCGGGAACTGGTTGGGTTTCCAAGCGAAGCCGCGGAGGGAGGTTAGGAATGTAAGAGTGTCTCCTGGTTTCAGGGTGTGAATGTGGGTGCTAGCTTTGCCGTTAGGATAGTGTTTGACCATTAGTTCGAGGTGGCCTTGATTATCTGGACGAGTCAGTTGACTATCTAGCGATGTTGTCGATCTGGTTATGCGGATTATGTAGTCTTGTTTTATGTTCTGTTTGGGATAGGAAAAGAAAAGGAAATCGACATACTCAAATCACTAATAGGTGTATACGGCCTTATCACAGGAACCCAACTACCCTTCGGCCTGCACATCGTAAGCACCGCCGCTACAAAACATTCAAATCAGCACTATACTAGGGCAGGTTTATACCCGAAAAGAAATACTCACAAGTCAACGACAACCCACTACTCGCCCGCGCATCTGGAAACTCAAACACCAGCCGCTTGGTATTATGGTTGACGGTGTCGACGCTGCGCACACGGAGCGACTTGGGGCCCCATTGTGAGAAGACCCCCGGTGGGTTTGTTTCTGTGGTGTTGCTGGAGCGGGATTGTGTGAGGGCGTAGAGGGCGAGGCCGGTTATTGTGAGCGTGCCTGCGATTTTAACTGGGCGGGGGAGGGATCGGAGGGTCATAGTATTGATTCTGTGGGTAGTATATAGTAATTAGTGGCGTTTAGTGGTGTGATGTATATATATAGCGGGGAGGCTGTGATAAAGGACTGTAAATGGTTGGGTTGGCAGTGTAAATTGGACTTAGTATTACAAGTATAAACATTTTGACAAATTGATCTGTGTCCTAGATCAGTATTTATACATGCGATGATGTTGCATCAGACATGGCCTGATGTCAGGACGCTGCTCGATGTTGCAAAAGCCGCAAAGACCGACGAGGCTGACTAGGCCGATCGGCCGTATGAGCGCGCCGTTCATTGTTGGTTGATTCAATAGTAATACTTTAGTACTTTTTTATTATCAGGTAAGAGGTAAGACAGGTAGTGCATGTGTAGCCTTACCATACTGCTGGCACGTGTTGACTAGATTGATTGGCTCGGATATAGCCCGATTCTACCAAAGGTATTATCCGACTGGGACAATTCATACAGTGCCTTGATCTTGGATAATCCTATACAGCAGTCCTGTCTATCTTTATATATACAGCTCACACGCCCCTTATGTGCAATAAAAAAAGTAGTAAGTAAGGCGCTCAAAGCTTAGAAGCCTTCGCCTCAAACCTTTCCACAGCCTTCACCGAATCAACCGCCCTCTCCTCATTCCCAGCCTCAACGCGCTCCCTCCACGCCAAGTTACCCGCGTGATCATCCAACATCCCGAGCAAACCGCGGTACGCCTCCTCCTTCATGGTACCGTAGATACCCGTGTCAGCCTTGTTCTTGTGCAGGGTGCGCTCGCGGATAAACGCCAGCGTCTCGTCAAGACCGCCCAGCCCGTCGACAATGCCCGCGGCTTGCGCCTCGGGGCCGCCGAAGCGCTTCGCGCCTAGCACGACCGTGCGGAAGGTCGCGGGCGGGAGCTTCTCGCGGAAGACGTGCATCATGGGCGACTGCAGCGGGACGCCGAACTCGAGCTCGTTGATGCACAGGAAGCCCTTGGCCGGGTTCTGGATGCGGTAGTCGTGGTACATGGCCAGCATGAAGCCGCCGGCGAAGGCGTGGCCGTTGAGGAGGGAGATGGTGGGCATGGGGTAGCTTTTTTGTAAGGTTAGTTCTGCTGTGGTTGTTATGTTGTAGAAGGAGGAGACATACGTTAAGAGTCGGCGGAAGATCTTCCACAGGGCATTCTCGAGGAAGCCTTCCGTGGCGGCGACGACGTCGAGGTCCAGGCCATTGCTGTAGAACTTGGGGATGCCACTCGTGGTGATGACCACGCCCTTGGGATAGCGGTGCTCGATGATGTCCAGGGCGAGCAGGAAGGCGTTGATCAGGTCGGGCGTCAGACGGTTATCCGGGGGAGAGGTGAAGGTCAGCAGGTAGATGTTCTTCTCGGGCCCCGGGTTGGAGCAGACGATGCTGCCGCCAGTCGAGGTGACGGGGACGGTGAAGAGGGCGGACATGGTGGATGTCTTTGTTTGTTTTCTGGACGGATTCGAGGAGCGGGGATGCGGGGGCGGGTGGGATTATAAGAGGGTGAAGTGATGATGATAATTCAGACCGCGGTAATCATAAGCTACTTCTAATCCAGGACGCGCTGTCTGGGGAAGTGTTGAGCAGGAGATGATCATGTAATCGGACATGGGGTAGTTTTATATCCGAGGTTATTCCCCGTTTGGGCGAACCCTGTCACATGGGTGCATTGCATTATGCTTATGTCAGTTACACAGGGAGCCTTATCTTATCGCTATCTTATCGTCTATCGTATCACCACGAACCATAACCATTCTAGAAAGAAGAGGTTGATGCCACTGTTGTCATTCTGCCTACGTGTACTGCATAGGCTCTCTGATAGACAGAAATCATGTGAGAAACCAATTCCAGTACAGTCCACAGTGTCTTTCAAGACATTTTTCTTGTCGACCGGCTCTGCCGACAGATACCGTGGAAATGGTTGAGAACACCGATCTCGATCGAAAGACATTCCCCCCGTGAAAAGAACGACTGTTCTCTTCCAGATTATGGCCCTGTTTTTGTGATTCTGTTCTAATTTATGTGCAAAATACTGCAAGCAATGTAGCCAGCGCGGTCTTGCCGCCGGACATCTTGTCTGTGCCTGCCAACGGTATGGGCTAGGGCTATTATCCACTTGACGCATTCTTGGTTCTCAACGTTAATCTGTCTCCGACGGCGACAAGAGCTAGGAAGAAGACGGTGGATTTGTATCTGAGTGATTTAGGTGGTGGCTTCTCGTTGCTATCTTCAGATGAGGAGGTAGGTCTGTCTGAGTGGTCTCCATTGTCTGCTTTCCTCTTTGAGAGGGATGCTGTCATTGGGCGTTTGTCGCTCATCGTGGGAGTGTCCAACTACCGGTGGTCTGTGGACAACATAAGAGACCATTACAAATCGTTCAACGGAGACGAGGAAGTCATGATTTTGTAAGTTCTGCGACGGTTGGCCACGAGGTCGCTCAGGGCATGCAGTCTCTGCCTATGGTCTATTTGCCATTGCGATCAAATGCGGGCCCATCGCCATCTCCAGCATTTCTGTCCGTCTGTGAGGTGTCTTTCGTACCCAAGCGGAAGCTGGCACTCGTGGTTAGGAACGGGTCGTCGTCATTGGATGCTACCAACATGCAGTGCATCCATGCAAGGTACCCAGATCTGTCGGCATATGGCAAGCATAACTGATTTGCCCAATCCAGTAGTCTCTCCACCTCGATGGGAACACCCGCCAGGGACGAACAGGGATCAGCGCAGCCACTTTACTCTGAACGGCTTGAGACGACTTGGCTTTGTTGGCCATGGACTAATTGGATGGATCTCAGTGAGTGTGGACCTAGTGGTTAAGCTGATGTTGGTGGTGTCTCACCGGAGATGATCGACAAACACATCGTCATGTTTGATGTTCAATCACTTTTAGTGTATTGGTTCCTGGGGATAGACTGGTTACGATGTGATTATATGTCATCAGGGGAAGAGGGAATTTCGACACGACGATGTTGCTTTTGTTGCTTGTTGCGGGGGGGGGAGTTCATAAAACTAAGAAGTTGGCCAGCCCAACAGAACGATGCTTACTCTGAATATCCCAACAGATCCATCCAACATGACAGACTAGCCTGACTGGGTGAGCTCGCCAACATGGAGCTTGATTATGCTGACCACCCCTCTTCCTCATTATTCTTCTTCTCCTCAGCAGCAACATTACCAAAAATCTAGACAAAGACGAAATGTCGATAGGAACAACACTCCCTCCTCTCCCAAAAGAGCGACTATCACTCGCCCACCGTCTCAACTGCTTCCTCCAACTCTGGCTTCTCAAATCCCTCGCCAAGCTATACTTCCTCTACCTCCGCCTCATCCACCCCCCTCCACCAGGCACCAAACCTACCCTCACTAAGCGCTACGCCTGCCGCCCAGCCCTCAAAGCCCACATCTTCTACCCACGCACCTACGACCCCTCCAAGCGCCAACTCCTCCCTCTGTACCTCAACATCCACGGCGGAGGCTTCGCACTATGCAACGCCACAATCGACGACCCCTTCTGCAGCGCCTGGGCCAACCGCACCGGCATGCTCGTCGTCAGCCTCAGCTACCGCAAAGCGCCACTCCACCCCTTCCCAATTGCCACATATGACATCGCCGAAGTCGCCAAGAGCGTCCTCGCAGACGACACCCTCCCAATCGACCCCACGCGCATCGCCATCGGCGGCTTCAGTGCAGGCGGCAACCTCGCGCTGTCCGCCTCGCAACTCCCCGGCCTAAAAGGCCGCGTCCAAGCAGCCGTGATCTACTACCCCATCGTAGACTTCGGACACCCGCCCAATGAAAAGCTAGACTCGAGACCGTACACGGGCGGTCCGCCAGATTGGCTGGAAAAAACCTCCTGGTGGCTGGACTGGGGGTATGTGTCCGTGGGGCAGAACCGGCGCGATCCCCTGCTTAGTCCGAAATACGCGGGGCGGGATGACCTCCCGCCGTGGGTTTATATGATCGGCGCGCAGTGGGATATGCTCCGGCTGGAGGCGCAGCAGATGATTCATCGGTTGGCGGGGCTGGAGGGAAGGGTTGGGACGCAGCAGGAGGAGGACTTTGAGACGGGGAGGTATAAGTGGACGTTGGCGAGGGAGTGTTCGCATGGGTTTACTCATGCGTCGCCGGGTCGAAAGAAGGGGGGCGCGAGTGCGCGGAAGAGGGAGGAGATTGCGAGGGGGGTATATGAAGAGGCATATGAGTGGTTGGGAAAGGCTGGGGTTATTGCTAAATGACGTTGCATGAATGAGCTGGTCAAGGAGATTGGCCTCACTTGACGGTACAATGACCTTGACATTTCGACGTCTGATGCAGGCGCGAGTTCCTTCTTCTTACGCGCATTGTTGAACGTGGCATATCTACTAGGACCATACGCGCCAGGGGGAGAGTGGAATGGGTGCTGAACAGACTGTGTATACAATGATTGGGTGATCGGATCTTCATATATTTAGAAGTTTCACATAGAGATAGACTCATATCAGGACCTTATATGGGGCGTTATAATAGATAGGTAAAGTTTCTACAGTCTTACAGAGACTTATAAAGCCACGAGAGAGCATTATATAAAGTTATTTAGGGCTGTAGAAGTCGCGTGGAAAACCTCCGGCACGTGGAGCGTCGTTACTTAAGTTATTACAGTTATTATCTAGCTACTATAGTTTCTAGGTTACGATCTACTTTACGATTGTATAGTATGTTTCCAGCTAATTATTGTTAGTAGATCAAGATAAATTACATTATCTTTAGGCTTTAATAAGCTATGGGTAGCCAACTCCCGTAATCCAGACATATATATTTATACTTGGTTGTCAAAGATATTCTCTGTAAATCCAAGTTATACTGGAACACTCAAGTTCCCCAAGTGCATATATTTTAGACCCAGCCCTAATCCAGACCGAACTCCACCGAACCACCAAGTTCATCAGATCATATAAACAAACTACACGATTGAATAGATTACGACACAAAATCATATGCTATTTCTAATGAGTTTATTTCCAAGCATTCCTTAGTCCAGCTCATGACAAATGTAAAAATCATTTCAACCGCCCTGCAAATTTCTTCCACAAACCTTCTGATCTAGATCATCTACTATAATCAGCCTTGTCTAAGCTCCATCCACTATAAACACTATTAGCGTCCTGCAGATCATCCCTTTTGCATGAATTATTGATACCTTGACCGCGATAGTCTTCCAGATGGAGAAAGTGCCTGCAGGGGTGGACCTGACCTTTTCAGCTGCCAAGCACGCGCCAGCCACCCATCACAATGTGTTTCTCCTGGCATCGTACGGACTGGGGGAGCTGAACAGTAGAGAATAAATAGAGCTCGCACCGCGCTCTCATTCTCCCTCCCCGGCTGATTCCTCACCACAACCCACCATGCATTTCCTCCCTTCGCTCCTCGTACTGGCCGTCTCTGCCGCTGCCCTACCCCAGGCAGTCCAGGACCGCAGCGAAGTCAGTCCCCCAATCCCAGACGTAGTAGACAACCTAACTAACAATACAAACCAGCCCCTCATCCCCACCCACTGCCACCCCAACCCCTGCGCAGGCGTCACCTTCCAAAACGCCTCGTTCATCTGCGGCGACTCGCGCCTCGGACCCATTCACCCCCCCAAGAAATTCCCTCTCCGCAACGAGCTGCGCACCTACGCCGCCCTCGGCGACCTCTGCCCGGCTGAATTCCTCAAAAAATGGGCCACCTCCGTCGATCCCGCAGGAACCTACATCTACCCGCCCTCCAACGGCTACGTCGTCGCCGACAGCGACAACAAACCCATCCTGGGCAACGTAACCCTCCCCGTGGGGCAGAAACTCGACCGATTCGGATCCGAGTACGGGTCCTTCCTGGCGCCGCTGGGCGCACCTTATATCGAGCGCTCGCTGCCGCCGAGTAACCTTGTGTCGCGCGACGGTGACTACCCGTTCAACTACCATGTTTATCAGGTGACGAAGGGGTTTGTAGTGGGGTTGGGGCCCATTGCGCCTTGGTTTGAGCAGCCGGGCATGGGGACGCAGTTTTTGGCGTATAGTAATGTGAAGACGCTTGTTGAGGGGGGTTTTCTGAGGAGGTTGGCGCCGGATGAGTTTGATGAGAGGGTGGAGTTTTCGAATGGGTATACTCCGGGGCCTGCTGGTGGTAGTTAGGTAGTTTGTGTGTTGAGTGTTGTTATGGGAGGGTTTGCGGTGCGGTGTAGTGGATTCCTAAGAGTGATGGATGCTAGTATATCGATGCTAGAAATTCATCAGCAGTCAACCAATCATGCTGAACTACTAGATTGACCCACAACTTAATACTGTTAGTCCTACTTCAGTAATATAAAGTAAGCTTAGTGCATACATGGATAGTCATTGTAAAGTATCCGACCACTGACGTCACCTGATATCATAGTATATAGTCCTACAAACCCAGTCTTACAACCTCACCATCACCCATCATATTCTGTTAACGCATTAAATAAACAATTCTTCTTCTTCCTTTCTATAAAAGTGAACTAAAAAAAAAAAGTAAAAGAAGGAAAATGAAAAACCAACAACTCCCCGAACCCCCCAAACAAGCCGCCTACAACCAGCCCTCCAACCCCGTCTCGCACACTCCCGCGGAACAACGCATTCTCTCTACCCACCAGCAACAGCCCCTATTATCTCAATTTACCAGGCAGGGGGCGAGGGTTACTCGGCATGCAGGGGATATTGACGTCGACGCAGCCAAAGACACATCCCACCATCCCTCTTCTTCGTCATCGCCCTATCCCTCTGCTTCCAGCGCCAACACCAGCCCCGATATCAAAAACGATATAAACATAGGCTACGGCGTCGAACAACAACCCAGCGAAGGATATATCGCGCATGCCGTCAAGGACGATTCCCGAGATAACGTCATCAACAACAATATCAAAGATGATAGCCCCAGGGAACACCTCGAAGGATGCGACGGCTACGACGAAGAAGACGACCTAATGGCGCACATGGGCCGCAAACGCAGAGAGCATGATCGGGTGCTGCGCGAGAGACTGGAGGGGTCGTCGCCTGGGACGGACGTCGGGAGTGTGGAGAGGGAGGCGCTGAGACGGCGGAAGATGGAGGAGGAGAGGTTGGATGTTGTGGGGGCTGTGAGGAGGGGAACGGGGTCGCCGGTTGTTTGACCTTTTTTTGCTTCTTTATTTATGATTTCATGGATTGGATGGGATGAAATGGGATGGGTGGGAGTGTTGTTGTTTGTTGAGGGTTGAGTTTGATATGCTAGTTGATTCAAGTGAAGTAAATATGCATTGGGTATCATTAAGTAGTAAAACGTAGTAAGTGTGGCACAGATAATCAGGCATCCGCATCCCCTTCTCCAATAGACACTTTCTTCAATTCCAAGTCCCGTTTCAGCTTCTGGATCTTCGTCGCTAGCTTCCCCCGCAGGATATGGTTCGTCATCGTCTGCCATCGTGCCGTGTCCGCCCGAATCAGCGCCTCCAGCTCTGCGATCTCCTCCCGCTGCTGCTGCATCTGCTGCTGCTGCTCCAGCTGCTCGTCGTCCAGTTCCTCCTCAGGCTCGTCGCCGTCGTCTCGGTCCGACCCGTCGCTCTCGTCGCCAGACGACTCCGCGGCTGGGGTAGGCGGTTTCGTGGCCGTGGGCGTGCCCGCCTGATACACCCCAGAGTCGGTCGGTGCGGGTGGCGCCGGCGGCTCGTCCCCAGCCGCCAGGGCCGCCTCCATTTCCGCCGCGAGGGCGTCTTCCATATCGTCCCCGAAGAGCCCGTCCTCCATGCCGTATTCCACCTCGCCCTCGGCGTCCTGCTCGTCGTCGTACATGTCCATGTCGTACTCCCCGTTCTGGACAAACCCCTCGGCGCGGTTCAGCGACGCGCTGTCGATCAGCTCGTAGCGCGGCAGGCCCACGGCCGCCTCGTCCTGCGCAATCAAGTCCTCGACCGCCTTCTCAACCTGCTCGATCGTGCGCGTGCTGACCCGCTCGCGGAATCGGCGCCGGCGCACCCACCGCAGCGGTGGCGTCAGGCCGTGTGGATACTGCAAGGTCTTTTCGTCCGGCTGGGTGAGATCTGCGGGCAAAGGGTACTCCAGCGCCTCACGGTCGTTGGCCACCGTGCCGAGAATCAGCAGCATCTGGCAGATGTCGGCCGACTTGTACCACCCGCGCCGGTCCCAGCTCTTCATCCCCTCGACGATACACGGCAGATCGACCAGCGCCGCGGCGTATTGCTTGTCGCGGACCCGGAAGATTGCGCGTCGGCCCTCGCGGTTCAGCGGCTTGAAGGAGATTTCGGACCGGTCGAAGCGTCGTTCGGCGATGGAGCGTCGGAGATGTTCGCAGTCTTCGCCGGGAAGCATGCGCAGGATGAATTGTTCCTCGATGGCGGGATCGGCTTCGGTGTCTGAGGCTTCCGAGTCGTAGCCTACCCCCACCGGTCGGGAAGGCACGAGGGCCTTGTTCTTGATGCGGATCGACTGGACGCCGGGCTTTTTGGACGGGTTCAGCTTCAACCGTTTGGGGCCGGATGGGGTGACGGAGGCGGCAGGTGTTTCGATCGATGCCGGTCCGTCCGCGGGACGTTTCTTGGCCGGCTTCTTCTTTTTGGGTTTTTCGTCTGGAGTCTCTGCCTTCGGCGTATTTTCCTCGGGCTTTCGGGCAATCTTGAGAGTTAGTTTGCGTTGGGGGGGCTCGGTCGCGGGCGGTTGAGAGGGAGGCGGAGGTTGGTTCTTGGAAGGATCTTCGGCGGCCTTCTTCTTGCCGAAGGTGAGTTTGATCGGAGGGCGTGATTCTGACATGCTGATAGATTAGATGCCCCAAGCAAATGCTGGGACAAGACGATGGTCACAGTGAGGTGTGGAGAGGAAGAGATGAATGGGAAGAGAAGAAGATATGGGAGAGACGCGGAGAAGAGGAGCTGCACACACCGCCTTCGGTCACCGCGTTCAATCGCCATTGATCAATCTTGCTTCATTCACTGCAAAACATCAACAACTCCTCATTCCCCATTTCGCCCTTTCATAATTCTCTCAGGGTATTCATCCATAGATATACGACAGATCCAGCTACAAACACAACCGATCTCGTCCACCAAGCATGTCCGCCCCCAACCTGCACAACGCCCTCTTACGCCCCCCAATCATTCAGATCCTTCGAGCCGCCGGCTTCCACGCGACACGGCCATCGGTGCTGGACACCGTGGCTGATCTCGCTGGCCGGTACATGATGATTCTCGCCTCATTTGCCGCAGACCACGCCGCCAACGCGCACCCCAGCGATCCGATTCCCGGACTCGAAGACATCTACCAGGCACTCCAGGACGCCGGGGCATTACGACCACAGCTGCGCGAGTGGGAGGAGGATTGGCAGGGCTCGGAGGACATGCGCGGCTTGGACGCTTTCATATCATGGTTTACCGGCCCAGCCAACCACGAGATCCGGCGTATTGCCGGCTTCGTGCCCAGCGAGGGCGACATGGTCGACACCGAGGCCGCCGTGGAGAAGGAGGACTTTTTGACGGCGCTGAAGAAGAAACACAGCAAGACGGGCGAGGAGTCTCGATATGCGGGTACCGTGCTGGGAAAGAGCGCCGACGAGCATCCTATTGTGATCGAGGGCGGCGTGCCTAGCATCCAGGAGTGGGGGTCGCAGATTCGATCGCGAGCGCCGTATATGCTGGAAAACGACTCGTCGGGCATTAGCAGTGCCCCGAGTAATCTGTCGGATGGGGAGGGGATGGATGTGTGAGGTAGATGGGACATTACTTGACTTTTATTTCCCTTTCACCTTTTTCACCCCTTGTGGGGATGATCCTGGCTGGCTGGCATGATGCCTGCTGTCTGCCAGACGTTACCACGCTCTCTACGACGAATTCGCCATTTCGCTACGAGTTGCGGTCGACTATGCAGGTCGGCCTGTGCGACAGGCATGCATTTCGTGGCCGTGGTTGCTGTCACATGCGAGTCATCTAGCGCCCGTTGAGGGCTCACGCTTTACGACCATTGACTATTGATACCCCTCGGAATATATTTGAGGACCTAATGCTGAGGGAAGGCGTGGGGAGGATTGAGCATGATGGGTGTGATCTAGAGGGTATGGGGTTTGCTACGATTTCGACAGATCTAGCCCGAAGATCAGATCAAAGATCTCATATGTGATGTACATACGAACTAGCCGACGAGCCATGAATAAATTCGAGAAATACCTCGACTTCATTGAGCAATATATGACCGTTCCTTAACAGACTAGTAAATCCGTGTATATACGGTGGATCAGACCTGTCTTGGCCGGTGACATCAGCCGCCAACCAGCCGATCTTCCCCATCAACTTCAACTTCACCTTCACTCACCGTCACTTCCACCCCAACCCAAATCAAACCATGGTCTACCCCTTCACCCTCCCCACGACCTCTCACCTTTCCCTGCAATCTTCCCTCTCCTCCTCCACCCATCCCTCTCTCCCCCAAGCCGCCTCCACCGCCCGCCATGCCCTCCGCGTCGCCCTCAAGACACACAAGCAACTCCCTCCAGGCCCCCAACAAGACGCCCACCTGCCCACCATCCTAACAGCCCTCACCGACTACCTCCCCTATCTACACGCCCTCTCCGCCGGCCTCGCCGACAAACCCATCGAAACCACCAGCGGCACCCGCGAACTCATAACCGTCATCCCGCGCGCGGACCTCGCCCCCGAATGGCGCCCCACCTTGTCCTCCCCCGCAGCAGCAACAGCACCAAGCCGCACGCGCGCCCGCGGCCACACCCTCGACTTTGAGATCGCCTTCGTCCTCACAACCCTAGGCTACGTCCTCAGCGGACTCGCCCACTCAGGCGTCACCCGCACCGTCTACGCAACATCCACCCCCACGGCGGACCAACGCACCGCCGCCGTCCAATCCGCCACCCGCTCGCTCCTCCAAGCCAGCGCCGTGCATACCCTCCTCGCCTCGTGGCCTCCCAACCTGGCCTCAACCTCAACGCCCCCACCACCCGACACAAACCCCACGACCCAAACCGCTCTCGCCAGCCTAGCTCTCTCAGAAGCAACCCTCCTAGCAGTCCTCAAGGACGACTCCTACATCGCAGCATGCATCCAAGCGCGCAACCCCCACGACCGCGACTGGATGGTGCGCGCGCCCGAGATCCCTAAAGTGCGCGCCCACCTCTTCGCGCGCCTGTGTCTCCGCGCAGCAGAGTACGCAGACCAAGCGGCGGCGGGGCTAGGCTCCGTCGGGGCGCACGCGAAAGCGAAAGCCGGCGTGGACGAGCGGCTTGTGCGGTATGTGCGGGTGTTGAGCCGAGTGGCGCGCGCGCGTGCGTGTCGCTTTTTCGGCGTCGATGCGGAGCTCGCGGGGCGGATCGGGGAGGGGATCGCTTGGCTGAGGGCTGCGAGGGGGGCGTTGGGGGTGCAGGGTGGGATGGCGGGCAAGAAGGATAGGGCGGAGAAGGCGGAGAAGGGGGCGGCGAGTGGGTTGGATAGGCTGAAGCAGGGGTGGATGGAGAGGAGGGAGGAGAGGAGGTTGGAGAAGGGGGCGGGCGGGGGGAGTCGTGAGAAGAGCGGGGAGTTGGGCCCGGGGGATTATGCGGGGAGGGAGGAGGAGGGGAGGGTGATTGAAATGTTGGAGGTGAAGTGGGTGAGGATGAATGATACTGTATCTCCCCATCTTTCTTACTCGTCCTGTTTACAGGCATGTACTAATGAAGAGCAGATAAATACCCAGCTGATCCCTCCGTCTACGGATCTCCTGAACAGTCTTCCCTCCGGCCGCGATATACACTCGCCGCCAGGACCGTACAAGCTGCCGGCTCTGGACGACGAGCAGCTGGCGCAGATGCGGGCACCGCCGGATGATACCGGGAGTATCAGTGGTGAGAGTGACGAGGAGGAAGGTGACGAGGGATTGGGACAGATGCAAACGGGGACGCCGGGGGCGTACCCGGAGCGGACGGAGAGTGCATATTACTGACATACATGACCATATCCTGCTGTTTCTTATTGATGTTTTGGATAGAACGATGGGCCTAGCTCTGACGGGCCGGATCGAATATAGTATCGCAAGCACATACTACACTATATACATGCCGTACGTAGTAATAACCAGCTTACAATTCATTGCCAACCAGCATCTCAGCAAGTCTTAACAGCCAGCCTCACAATCACCAGCAGAATCCCAGCCGAACATCACCAGGTGTGATAAAAAAAGTTTATAAATAAAGTACAATGCAACCAACAAATGCAATAAACACAGGATAAGATAGAAAGGGAATAATCAAGCCTTCTCGAACACGTTCTTCTCCTGTCCCAGATAACCCTTGATCTTGCGCTCGCTGAGCAGTTCGAAGTATTTTTCTATGATATGTCAGTACACGCACTGATACATGGACAAATGACAGATAGACAGAAGGTAGATATAGACGAATCCGATATCCACCTCCATCCACCAATCAATCAATCAATCAATCAATCAATCGGGGGGAAAGAAAAGAAGAACAAAACTCACCCCTCAAAACCCCACACTTCTCCATATGATTCACCCCCTCCCGATGATAGCACTTGCCCAGCTCCTCGCCCACCAGCCTCGACATCATGCTGCGCACCCACTGCTCACGGATGATGGCGTCGCGGGCGTTGTGCACGGCGACGTTGTCCTCGAAGTCGACGCCGTCGTACGTCGGTGCCACGGTGGGCTTCTTCGCGAGGAAGGCGGCGGATTCGGGGGTGGGCATTTTTCGTTCGTTTTTCCTTCGACCCTTGTTTTTCGGTTTGAGGTAAGGTGAGGTGAGGGTCAGGTCGAGGGTTGGTGGATTGAGTGCTGCGCGCTGCTGTGCTTGAGCTGTTGGTTGGTCCGGTAGGTACAAGAGGTTGGAGAAGAGAGTGAGGTTGAGCGCTGTGCAATTGAGACGGTCTGATTGGTGGGTTGAAAGGCGGTCTGCTGGGTTGGCTTTGTGCGTCTTAGTCAGCCATCTGGGACTCCGTCTTATCACGTGACTGTGGTCCGGCGAGTGTATGACGATGGCATCACTACTTTTGAGATCAATCTAGCAATTCAAACATCAATTGGCATTAACCAGGCTTGATTGGATTAACCTAGTAGAATTTGAATAAATACCATACAAACGCCTATTTGACCCACCCATGTTGCGTCCATCCGAACTCCAATCCCAAACAATTAACCCTATCCAAACAATCCAGATGATCCAAAATCAATATACAGACTACGCCTCTTCCCGTGGGAAGAATCGTCCAAGAACACTCTCCAGTCGACTCCCCATACGCTCCCACCACGTCCGATTCAGCTCCTTGCTGAGCTCGCGATACTCGTGCATCTCCGCCCAGCAGTCCCGTCCGAATTTGCACCCCGCCATGTTGACCACGAAGTCCCGCTCCGCTTCGGAGTAGTGCACTTCGGGATCGCCGCCGGCGCCGCAGGCGCCCGGTGGGAAGGCATTGGCGTACCGCTGGGGTAGGAAGGCGGTGCTGCTGCGTACCCACGGCTGGCTGATGTATAGGTTTTCGAGCGCGTCCTGCTCCTTGTGCTCCCACTGCATGTGCTTCTGCTCGTATAGAATCGGATCCCACCAGCTGTCGAGGAGGCGCTCGGACCACAGCGAGCGTCGCAGGAAGAAGGAGCCGAGGTTGAAGCCACCGCAGTCTTGGGTGAGGACCATGTTGATGGAGGAGACGTCGCCGTCGCCGGTGGCGGAGCGGGATACCTCGTCGAGGTAGGGCTCTGTTGGCGGGTGGCTGATGTTGAGGGGGTTGTAGACGTTGATGTCGCGGTAGGTGATGTCGCTGAGGCGGTCGAAGAGGTGGTCTTGCAGCGAGTAGGAACCTTCCATGACCCAGGTGTTGAGGTCGATCCACCAGAACCTGTTCACTATTAGCTTCATCCATCAACCAGCCCGAGGCAGACATACCACTCCGCGTGCGGATACTTGCCCATCGTCTCCCGGAGGATGTCGACCTTCTCCCATCCCTCGCGCCATTCGTGCGAGTACCGCTTTTTGGCGAGCATGTTGACGATTTCCAGGTCATAACCCCAGCGCTGCGCATACGCGGCCTTATTCGCGATGCTGTTGCGCTCGACGGCCCACTCGCGCGCGCCCTTCAACTCCATCACCCCGCCTTCAATATTGGACTCGAGGACGATGACAAACTTGCGTCCGTTTCCGAAGGGCGATCGTCGATACCGTTCCACGATCGCTAGTACCATTAGCCTAACCCATCGGGAGGGGGGGAAGGGAGACATGGGCAATACATACCACTCCACAGATACAAATACCCAACCAACCCCAACAACAGCACCACCACCAACCTCATCCTCTTCCGCCTCAGCACACTCCTCCCCGATCCAAACGGCGAACACCCACGTCGAGGCGCACCCCCATAATACGGATACGCGCCCTTCTCATCCTTCTCCGCATAGTCGTCGTATCCCGAGGGCGAGCGCCACCGCGGCAGGGTGGCAGAGATCTGGCGCTTCGAGCGCGAAAAGAAGCCGTTGTTGCGCGTCGCGAAGGACGGATAGCCGCGGATCTCTTCGCTCTTGGCCTTTGCGGATGCCCAGGAGATGTTGCTCGATACGCTGGCCGGGGTGAGAAGCTCGCTGCTGCGCGGTGTTGAGCGGCCGCTGTGGGGCGTGAGAGATGGGGTGGACCAGCCTCTTCCTCCGTCGGGACGGGGGGAGGGGGATCCGGAGGACATGGTGAGTTGGTGAGATAGGGTAGGTGAAGGTGAGGTTCGCTAGGAATGCGCAGTAGAAGAAGGTGTATGGAATGTAAGGTTGGCAAAGTCGACGACGGGGTCGAGAGGAAGTGAAAGAAGGGAGGGGAAAAAGCAGGAATGACGGAAGGGATCTATCATTTGCTGCCTCAGGTTCACCTCAAATTGAAAAAGAAACCAAAGTCACCGTAAGATTTAAAATTAAGAATTCATAAGAGAAATAGGGAAAAAGAAGGGAAAAAATGACCGCGAACGGGTTTGCCCGTTTCCGTCCAACGTTGTGTCCTTGAGCGTCCCACGGAACAGACATCCGATATTATTAGACATTTCCCACTTATACAACCACCTTACCTTTCTTCGAGGGACTACAAGAGAAACCCATCCTTCAGGAGCTCAATAAGATCAGTAGGTAGGTACATGAAACAACCCCATCCCAGGATAATTACCCCATATCTATCTACCCCCCCTTCATTCAGACATGCCACCTCCAACTTAGGTATAGATATCACCGACAGGGGTCTCAATCCCGACAAGCCTGAAACAGCAGTAGACTAACTAGTCGAATAACCACAATGGTAAAACGGCCGATCTGGTGGATCGACGGTGGCTTTTGCAAAAGCGCGCCCCCCCTCTTGCCCCGCTGGAGGGAATGTAACCTGCTTTATCTGTAAGGGTCTGTCTGGGTCTAGTCTGGGATTGATTAAGTTGTCATTGTCTTTATTGTTTTTGTTTATCTGTTGGTTTGGTTTGGTCCTTTTGGCACGGTTACTGGTTGTAATCATGGGGTTTTTATTTTTATTTTTTATTTTATTGATTTCTTGCTGGATGTCAGTATCTTTTTTACAGATACAGACAGACGGTAGATATAAGGCAAGAAATACTATGGAATTGTCAGAGAAGCAGGGGAAACGGCAAGACGGACCCACTCAGTCCTGGTCTGGTCTGGTCTATTCCGGTCTAGTCTACTCATCGGTTTTGACTCCGTGCTGAGAACAGAGCCACACTCAGTCACTCACGGCAGAATCAGCATGGCACGTCCGAAGAAAAAGTGGGTCGAATACTAGCTGGGCTTTTTGAAACAGTCATCTCGGTTCATCTGGTAGGGCTTTGGTCGACGTTTAGTCAAACCGTCCATGAAGAAAGAGAGCCCTTAATGAAACTGTGTATATGGAGGGAGACTTGCAAAATTGACACAGCTGGTATAATTCTATAAATCTATACTGCAAACCACTTCAAACACAGGATGAGCTCATTTAATTGATAAATTCGTTGATTCATAGGTATCATATTGTGTCAAAACTAGTGTACCTGGTCTTCCCTACTACCTGTACATTGCCAATTCCTGTCCACTATCATATCCACATATCCCAATCCGTCTTCTGTCTCGATTAAGCCTTTCCCAATTGCCCACTTGCTTTCGTTCTTCTTTTTTGTTTTTTGGTCCTTGGTTTATCCTGTTGTTTTGCGTCTAAAGGCGGTAGTGGTAGAGGAGAGCATGCGTAGACATCACCAGAACAATCCAACAACTCCAGTCAAAATACACGGAGAGGAAATGAATCAAGTAAGGTGAAATAAAAAAAAGAAAAACATGTAAAAGTAAAGGGAAAAAATAAAAAATCATTTCTTCGTACCCCGATCCTTCCTCGCAGGCAACTGATTCGCCGACGTCTCCTTAGCCATCAACGCCTTGCGCACAACGAACCCCTTCTCGGACTCGGGCCGCTCACGCGCACTCTCCCCGTGATAAAACTCGCACTGCAGCTTCAGAAACTTGCTCCGGTGCTTGTAGATCGTGATGACATCCCCCGAGTAGAGCTTGCCGTAGTGGAACCCTTCCCGCCCGTTCGCCCCCTCCGGCCCCCGCCGGAGCTCCGTGTCGTTCACCCAGATGCACTTGCGGGTCTTGGTCGATAGGATGGCCATTACCCCCGGCACGGTCATCCAGTCTCGTCCCGAGGCGATCTGCGCTTCGATTGCCGGCGTCCAGAACGTTACCTCTAGTGCGTAGGCCGGGATCCGCGTGTCCATCGGGTCCGGGTAGCAGACGGTTGCTTGTGGGCCCCGGCCCCACGACGTCATGCGGTCTTCGAGCTGAATGGTTAGGGGAAAGATCGATCCTGGTAGCGTCGTCAGCTTACCCAGGAGGGGCCGGGGTTTGCCGGGGTGGAGGTTGATGTTCGGCGTTCCGAAAGGGACGTGGCCCGGGGCGGGATCCGGAGAGGTGGTGGACCCTGCCCTGTCGGACTCGTTTGGGAGCTGCTGTCCGGTCTTCGCGTCGATCGTGTTGGCGAGCTCGACGTCGAATGCCTCGCCTGGGATCGACCTGGGTGCGTCCCGGAGAGCCGTTGGCGTCGTGCCGGGGCCCGGACTTGACCGTTCGCTCCCCGTGTCGGGAAGAGGCAGCTCGATGCGTCGGCGGAATGCGCTGGCCTTGGGGGTCTCGTTCTCGATGTCCGGTGGGCTATCCGACGCCGGACCACGGCCGCTCGACTCGGCGCCCACGCTAGTTCGCTGTCTCGGGTTTGGAACGACGGGGAGGAGTGCGGTTGAGATTCCAGGGTGCCACGTGGAGTTCATGTTCAGCTGTCCAACCATGTTCTCAGCGCCCATCAAACTCGGTGCGGATCCTGCCACGGGGTTCTCCGGAAGGGACATGATGGAGTTGAGGCTGAAGCCGTCGCTGATCATCGACTCACCGGTTGAGGAAACGAAGTCATGGATGCTGAAGTTGTCATCTTCATATGCATCTAGGTTGGCCCCCAGGGCGTGCGAGCTGGGCAGCGCAGCCGGGTTGATCTCGCCAAACAGTCGTTTGGGGGTAGAGTCCGATGGCGGCTGACCCTCCCGTACGCTCTCAAAGTTGGGGAGGGAAGGGTAACGGATCTCGACGGGTGGGTAGTCAATCCGAGGGCGTTTGGACTGGGCTAGCCCATCTCCATCCTCGGCGTCCTCTGCGTCGAGCTTATCTTCGATCGAGAGCTGCGACGCATCCAGTTGTTCGTCCTCGATGTCTTCACCAATGTCGGAGAGACCATCCGGACCACTGGATACCCCATCGTCCTCATACTCGTCCACGTCCGGTAAATCGACAATCCACGGGTGGCGGAAGCATTCTCTCTCCTTCGGGCGTGCATGAGGATCTCGATTCAGAAGCTGAGCCACAAAATCGATGCCTGCATCCGATACGCCGGCGTGGTGGAGTATGTTGAAGTCTGCGTCCGATGTCATGATGTTTCGCAACATTTGGGCGCCTCTGTCATCCCCGCGTCCAATGTACGGGGGCACCCCCGCGAGGATATGGTAGAGCACGGCACCGAACGACCACATATCCACGGATTGGTCGTAAGGCGAAGTTCTCGGGGGCCTGGCGGTCAGTGAGCAGGCATTCTTACCAACAGGCTCGGAGACTTACGGATCACCCAATCGGCGCCTCTTTCTCGCCTCACCCCGGCGATACGTCTCGTATTCGGGGTATACTTCCGGGGCGCAGTACAGCAACGTTCCACAGAAGGTCTTGAGGAACGTCTCCTCCTGGACTACCTTGGACAGACCAAAGTCCGACAACTTGACACGAAGGGGATCCAGGGACGCAATCAAGATATTGTCCGGCTTGATGTCTCGATGGGTGATCTTGCGTCGGTGAAGATACTGGAGAGCATGGAGGATCTGCCGTGCGATGGTGCGCACCATGTCCTCGGGGATTTTGCCATGGGACCCTAGGTAAGTGGACAGCTCCCCAGCGGGGACATACTCCATAATGATGTAGATCCACCGGTCGTGTTCGTGATGGTCGATGTATTGGACGATGTTAGGCTAGCAAAATCAGCATCAGCATCCGCGACAGGGTCCGCACAAACCAGCTACTCACGTGTCTGAGGTCTCGCATGATCTTCATCTCGTTATCCACCTTCTGATCCAAAATGCCATTCTTCATGAACTTTCGCTTGTCCAGCTCTTTCGCCGCATAGACCATGCCGTGCTGCTTGGTGGCGAGTTTGTAGACCGTGGCAAAGGCGCCTTTCCCTACCTGGCCCGTCACATTGTACATTGATCCCCCTGTCCAGTGCATGCCATATGAATTCCACTGCAGGACCGGCTGCACCGACGCCTGACGCGACCTTGGCTGCACAGTACCGGTCTGACACTTCTGGATGCGCTCAAAGTACCGCAGCATGTTCTCGGTGTACTGCATGACATGCCCGTCCCGCGAGGGAAAGCGGACGACAAACCTGACCTCCACTGAAACTTGGTCGCCACTCAACACTTGTATAACAGAGCCACCGGTAAGCATGCGACTGTTTTCCCTCTGGACTCTGCGGAGACGACAGTTGTCTACAATGGTGCCGTTAGTGGAGAGGTCTTCGAGCATGAGAATCCCATCCTCGGTGAGATATATGCGAAAATGTACGTTGGAGACCCGCGTTAACTTTGGATCGGAAGCGAGGAGTATGTCGCAGCGTTCTCGATTGCGCCCGAAGCAGAACCCCGCGCTCAGATTCTTGACCGGGGACGAGAGCCTTAGAGCAAGGTCCAAAGCCGGAGTGTCGTTGCGCTCATACTCCAGCTCGTCTCTCTGCAGGATGTGTTGCGGGGCGAAAAGAGCCGTCTTGGACACCGCATCATGTGCCGCAGGGGAATTCGGGTGCAGGATACAGATAATGTCCGACACGTCCTCTTCCACTAGTCCGGAGTTGTTGTACCCCATACGACGCGGGTCCGTGCATGGTTGAGTCGACTCTTGGGTGGCCTCCATCAGCTCCGATGATGCCGATGGACCTCGACAAGAAACTTAAACAATATAAAGGAAAAAAAAAAACAAAAAAAAAGCAATGAAGACACGGCTACTGGGCACAGCGAAAGACCTAAGAGATGTATGCCGCTTTGTGGAGATGGATGTCTGGATAACCAATACGACAACTAACTCAATTCCATCACATGCGCCTAACCAGAGTTAGCTCTCAGCACTCGTGACTTATTGACTGCACACCAGGGCAAGCACAAGGGCAGAAACAGTCGCACCTTGCCAAACCCCAACGCATACACCAAGGGACCAAGAAGAGTGGTGGCAGTTCGAGTTTCGACAACACTTCCGCTTCCGCCTCGATTTCGATCGGACCCACGGCAAGAGTGCCAAGTAGGAACGAGTAGTATGATTTCTAGGAACAGACTGATCGGTAGTACCGATCGATTGTAGATCGATTTGGAACTCGACGATCGTAGTTGGATGTCAGGCGACGGAATGAATCTCTTATGACAAGGCTGAGCGATTCCAGCTGTAACAGGAACCAGTCACGCGCAACCTCGAACCCCGGGAACCAGGCGTCGGTACAGGAGCATTGAATCAAGGAATGACAGGGGGAGAACAGAATCTGGACAGCGATGTATTGTGGAAGTAAGGGATACTATGTCTAGACGATAAAAGATGATTAGTCAAGTCCAGGTACCACTGCCCATTCACTGGACAGGCTGTGTAGCCAACGACGCTGGAGGCAACTTACACAGCTGGCGAGCTCCCCATCAAACCATGACACTGCAAAGATCACCCGTGATGTGACTGCTGCAATGGTCGTTGCTTGACGGGAAGAGCCGGGCAACGGGGCAGACGCGACAGAGATTTGTCCAGTCGAGGGTTTCGTCGTCCGAGAAACAAACAAGCAAAAGCGGATGAACTGCGGAGGAGAAAATGGTTCAGCTGAAGTTAGTAGTCGCCCCAGGCAGACATCAGGCATCAACGCCGTGTCGGGTTTGGCCGCCGGGAAGGATCCGTGGGACAGCCGGTGGATTTCTATGGCTACAGGGGTTTAACTTCAGGACAATGAGGTTTGAATGGTGAAGGAACTACGGTAGGGTTTGCATACTATGTGGCTTTGTCTATTTACTTGGTTCCGTAAGGTTTGCTCTGGTCAGTGCTACCGTGATAATTCCCACTCATGGCGGTATCAAATGCCCGCTCAAGCCGGGCAATCGCCTCCTCGGAGACCTCTGTGACGAGTCAGAACAGTTACCATAGACCTCCATGCGCGAACAAACAATATCTGGGGCGACTTACGGTAGTGGATGACGATCCGACCCCCTAGTAATTGAAGGCCTTGGTCCTTGGCAATTTCGGCAAGATCATTGGGTCCTAGCCCAGACGACTCCAGATCCAACCAGACCATGTTTGTCTGTACCGGATGGGCCAGCTTTCCCCCACGGCTCGTCCACATGTCGGCGACCCGTTTGGCGCGGTCGTGTGTCTCTACGAGCTTCCCGCCTTCGCCGCTAGGACCCGGCCCAAACGTCTCCTCGACGGCCACTCGGGCGGCGGCTGCGAGCACACCCGCTTGCCGGACCCCACCCCCAATGGACTTGCGGAACCACCGCGCCTTTTTGATAAACTCCTTAGACCCGACAATGATACTGCCGATCGGGGCGCCGAGTCCCTTGGAGAAACACAGGCTCACGCTGTCAAACAGGCTCGTGTAGTCGGGGAGACTCCCGGCCCCCGATACCGCCGCTTCCCAGAGCCGCGCCCCGTCCAGATGGACCTTGATGTCGTTGGCATGCGCCCATTCCGTGATCCGACGCGCCTCCGCCAGCGGCATGATCATGCCGTCCAGGGTGTTTTCCAGGCTGATCAGCTTCGTCGGGCAGTGGTGAATGTCATCGTCGAGGACGGCGCGCGCTTGGATATCCTCGAGGGTGAGGTGGACGCCGTTCTTCGGGACGACGCATTGAACCATTGCGCCAGTGAGCGAGCTCACGCCGCCCGCCTCGTAGCACACAATATGCGATCGATGGTCGCAGAGGACGGAGTAAGGGGGCTGCACGAGATGGGTCCGAATTGCCACCTGGTTGCCCATGGTCCCGGACATCACCAGCAGGGCATCCTCATGGTTGGTTCGCTCCGCGACATAGGCCTGGAGATCCTGCGTGACGGGGTCCTCGTTGAAGACGTCGTCCAGAAGGGTGGTCTGACAGATGGCTTCAAGCATGGACGGGGTCGGCTTGGTCATCGTGTCGCCTGGTGATACCGCACATTCAGTATTCTATGAAACTCGCTCAGGTTCATCGAGGGAAGAGTTTCGAATGTTACGCACTCCGGAGATCAAATTCGGCAGCCCCCGCGCCCTGCCAAGTGTTACTCTTCCTTGCCCCCGCTGTTGACATGTTTGCGACGGCGATTCTAGACGACAAAGACACACTTCGAACTGGCGCAGCCGACCAGTGTAGAGAGACCGACCGAAGGAGCGTGCAGGGAGAGCGTCGCATGGAGATTGGCTGCTACTCAAAGACTGGGGATATAGATGCAAGCCCCCAACAGGAGACTCCCCCAAGACCGATACCGAAAAACACCGCCCGGGTGCGGGGGATGACTAACCGAAAATCCCAAACAACGCCCGCCCTAAATCCTAATAGATCCACTAACGCAGTCCAGTTAGTTTCACATTCTGGTAAGTTCCGACAATACTCGATAATACACCGGAACAGGGTACAGGTCATACTATGACGAAACTGAAACGCGTGTGGCTCGAGACGATTCGCCCGAATCAGGTAAGGTGACCGTCAATCTCAGTCATCGTGGCCGCACTGACGGATCAGTCAGCAGTCGAGATCCCTCTAGACTTTTGCGGGCGGGAGACTTTGCGCTTCGACCTGGCAATCCCTCTGTGGACTGAGATCTTTCCCCTTCCCCTTTCCCCTGTCGAAAACCGTTGAGGTGGCGTCGTTTTCCTAGCAGAGCCCCCGTCGCGGGTTTCGATCGTTTTGTGTATTGTTCGGTCGTCTATAAGATGGATCTCTCGAGACTCACTCGCCCGGCGATCCTGTGTCAGTGCTTGCGCTGCTCCAGTTCTCTTGCCGCTTTGGAGAATGAGTGGGCGAAGCTGTCCAACTCGTACTCGGTGGCGGCAGGCTGGTTGAGCGTTGAACTTCATCGCATCTCCATCTCTTCTGAGAAGAAGCAGATTCCGCAGTCATCGGATTTGAGTGTCCTGCGGGGCCGAATTTTACAGGATGTATCCTGCAAGTTGTGTCAGCAGAGGCTGGGGGTTCTATCGGAACTCGACAATGGGTGAGTGGATCTTGTTCTTTTGTCTCGCTGGGGGTGTGACGCTTCGTTGCCTCGAAATCGATCCAGTAGACTAACCCTCCTAGTCCGAATATCCTCTGGAAAATGTCCAAAGTATCGTTTAGGGAAATTGTCACGATGCGTACGGTCGAGCCCATGTTCAAGGACGGGGCCTTAGAACAACTCCTCCACCCGACACCGAAAGATTCAGGCACCAGACGCGATCGACAGTCGAGTCAAGCAGGGGCGTTGATACCGACTGGCTCCGCCGAACTCGACTACTACAACAGCTTGTCGGTCGAGCAACAGATCCAGCACCAGGGCCTCAGCCTCGACCATATCTCGAGTTCTGTTATCAACCTCCACGATACCATGTCCGAATTGAAAGGCGCATTCACGGCGCTTCGCATCGAGCTCAATACTCCCGGTCGGTCTCCCGAGCTAGGGACGCTCCCGGGCAACGACTTTAGCATGATCGCGACAGTATTGAAGGAGTTGAGAAACAAATCGGATGAAAATGACAAACTCAAGCTGGAAAACGAGGCACTGAAACTGAGGAATCGGTATATGGAGGAACAAGCCACACGACAGCTGGTCCCCGTGCCTAGTGTCGAAGAAATGCTGCCAGAAGTGCGAAGTCCGGGGCTGCTCCAAGCAGGCAGGAAACGTGGCTGGCCAGAGGCCTTCTCGCACGGCCACACGCATCCCATTGCCGATTCTTTCGATGATAATGACGACGACGATGAAGACAGCATGACGGGGTTTTCATTGGCCACTCCCCAGGCGCCTCCAACGAGGGTCCCTCCCCATCAGTCCACGGCAGCGCTAGAGCCCCAACAACCACAAGAAACCACCGAGTTCCGCATTGAAGTTGGCCGGACCACACATGCAGACAATAGACACCACGGGAGCAGCCACAGAGTCTCTAGCCCACAACAGGCTCAACCGGTGGCCAAACGACCGCGTCTGAGCCAACCGGCGGACCGGCCCCCATCCAACACAAACCCTGAGAGAAAGGTCGGGCGGCCCCGGAAATCGCTCAACCCGACGTCGAAGGACACGCCCGAGACATCCAAGCCTGCCGCTTCGAACGAGGCCAGCGGCCCCGGCAGCCAGGGAGAACGTGTGCCGCTCAACACGAGCCCTGATCAGCGAAATACGCGACCCGGGCGCTCCCGGAGCCTTCGCAATCGCTCTCGGCCGCCATCGCAACGAGAATCCTCGTCGGCCCGGCTCGGAGCCAAGAACTCATTCGAGCAGGACATGGCGCATACTCCGGGGGGCAGCGACCAGGATCGAGATGGGGGCGCAACCCAACCACCGAGCGAATCGAGCAAGGAAAACCCGTCGGGCACGAAACGGAGCAGTGCTCCGGAAAATGCCAACCACAAGGACGGGACTCACGAACGGCGCAAGTCACAAATGGCCCAGCGGGATCTGATGGTACGATTGGCTATGCAACGGGAAGAAGCGATGGAAACGGGGGAGGCTCGGTGATGACATTGCCATTTCTTCAACTGTATTATTTGGGATTCGATTCTTGTATTTTTATTGTGGGAATTTCCCATTTTCGACACCCTTCCTTCTTTTTATTTCTTTTCTATCTTTTCTATCCGTTCGTTTAATTCAATTTTTTTTTTTTTTTTTT